GATGTATCCCAGCAATGGGCCAGAGCGGCCAATGTATATATGTCTATGGGTGCAAGTATGTGATATGATCAAAAGCTCCCGATCAGCTACTGACTTTGTGGTCGGATTGTTTTCTCAACTGCTGACAGGATCAGAATAAACTTAAACCAAAATGGATGAGAAGTCCTTAGGTTTTCAGCAAACACCATCTACTGAGGAAAATCATGTCATATGACCAAAAGTTCCAGAACACCTACTAAAGGGACCTTCTGGTGAGATGGTTCTCTCAACTATCTTTACATAAGAACAGTACCACCTCTCCACCAGGTCTCTAATTGGACTTTTTGCTGTCAGTCAAATCTGGCAACACTGAAGGAACCATCCATCCGTTCTTCATTGCTGCTTCTCCTGTACAGCTGTATAACTAGAAACTATCCCAGCATGCACTGGGATAGACTCAGTGTACAGATATCCTCTTTATCAAACAGACAAGCACACTCACACCTACATGGCAATGCAGATTTTCCAATTCACCTGAACTGCATGTGTTTGAACTGTGTAAGGACACCGAGCCCTGAAGGACTGCACCGTGCCAACCAGTGATTCTGCCAAAGTGGAGAGCTTGAAGAGCCTTAAACTCTATCTCATGGTTTGTTGAAGGGATTCTTAAATGTGATTTTCAAAAACTGACGAACTAGAAGTTATGTTTGCATGCTTATTCCAAATGAATACTTTAGATACTATGTCTGTTTCTCTCCAGGTGAAATGAAAAATTACTTTTTTACCCCTCAAGATTGCATCCTCAATTATACTGTACCACTATTTGACAATGTATGCCAAAGAATGTACAAAAAACTCAATGTCTTTGTATTTTGATATCAAAAACCAATTATTTAATTTAGTCTTATGTAAACAAAATGTGACATGTGCTTACTGTCAATCATTCTTCTCTTAGCGACACAGATTGCAGATTAGCTAGCTAGCAACAGCATGGCTTTCTGAGTGTTTTTGGGAGTCAGACCTCACGGATTACCGTACAAAAGCACAACTTTAATCAGTGATTTTGGTCAAACTGGATCATATTTTGTGGGAAAAATATTCAACTTGGCTAACTGCTGCTGTAGCCAGTCACAGTACGAGGCTCAGCAGCCTCCCAGTGAACACGACCTCTGACAGACAGTTGACAGTTTGACAGCGGTACCGAGGGGATTTACATTGGACAGATGGATTTGTTGCTGTCGTCAACAGTAATGTTAGATGCTGTTAGCTATTTGGTTTATGCAGCTAACGTTAGCTGACTTAGCCATGGGATGCCAGGAGCCATACCTGGCAAAAAAAACCCCACTTCTGTACTGTATTCCCTGTTGGCATCAGACGCTGCATTCAGTCCCGGTCTGGACGTGCTGTTCACTGGGAGCGCCCAGTCCCGCAGGGTTAGCTAATGGGTCTGCTACAGCTGCTGGACATAACACACAGTGCTATTGGCTACCACGACAAGTCCCTCTCTCTTCCCATCTGCCTGTTTTTACAGGAAATGTGTAAATATGTGGAAGCAAACAGCACTCTGATTTCTGTTTCAAGTGGACTTTTGGAATTGCTTAAATAACAATTTGTCAGAACTAGCCTTGGTTACCATTCAAGAAGAGGCCAAGTCGGCCTGACCTCTACAGCAGTATCTTGACTAACTTTATGCCATTGCTTCATATGTTCACTTGACTTTATTGGGGCCAGCCTGCTCAGGTCCGCTCCGGTCCTGTTCTCATGTTAAACAGTGCTCACTGAGCTCAACGTCAGTTTAATTTTTTTCATTTAAGACAGACAGAGACGGAATCTAACCAAAATACTTCACGGATTGAAGGTCACCATACATTGTCAATCAGTCTCAGTGAAAAGTTCCACTCTACATTCATCTGCTGCATGCCAACTTTGAGGCTCCACTCTCCTCTCTCCTTCACCTCCAGCGTCTGTCCTCTGACAGGCTCATATTAGGTAAGACCTCTTGATAATTGACAACCAAAGAAGAAAATAAAGAAAGCAGAAGGCTGATGAACAGCTTTACTGTATTTTTTCCTTTGCTGCAGAAAGCACTACTCATTTTTTTCAAGGACAGTTAAGTCTTGCACCACTGTTTCTCTTCTTCTAAAGCAGTGTATCTCAACCTTTTAGATTCACGAGCTGGAGTCAAGATGAGGTAACTTTGCCTGTTAACATGTATAAAAACAGACTATATAGCGTATGGTATATAGTGTTTTTGGCTACATTCACACTACAAGCCTTAGTGGTCAATTCTGATTTATTGTTCAGATCTAATCTTTTGGCTGTTCACATTATTTTTATACATGTGGCCCATATTGGATTCAGTGTGAACAGATCACGGTCCTGAAATGACCAGCATGTAGAAAAAAAGCACACCTTGAGACTAGACTGAGACTTATGACTATATGTCACAGGATGACAACTGGATCAACTTCTTGAGCAATCCCCATGCACTGCTGAAGACTCCAGAAAGTTCCAGAAAAAGTTAGTATGTGGATCTTGAGTCAAGATTGTTGAGAAGATTGTTGTCCGAACTACTGGAGGGTTTCAATAATGAAATTACAGCCTACAGAAGTTCTTTAGAATTTTTTTCAATAGAAGTGGATCCATTTCAATCAATCAGATAACACATGGTTAGATACAGTTCACCTTACTGGGAAAAACATAGGATTTGCATCTGAAATCTGTTCACATGGCACACAGAACAGCCCGGAGAGCTATGTTGAAATCAGTGAGTCACTATCACTCTCCCTTGCCTCCCATTATCCCTCTCGCTCTGCTTACTGGGAGAGAGATCAAGAATCAACAATCCGTTGAAAAATGGTCAGAATGGACATGGATTGTATATTTATCTACTTTTTTGTCAGTATATTTATTCCATCCATATATAGTTCTGTCGTTAATGTCAGTGATACATGTTGACATTTGAATATAAAATACCGGCTCAATTCCAGTTCAAGCACCTAGTTTTGATCCGTTCCGAGCGTTTCAACCAAAAATAAATTGGTTCGGAACCTGATAATTGGCTCCCAGCTGGAGACAAAAAATAGCAGGTTTTTCCTAGGGAACCAAAGGGGTGTGTAATATTCTACAGGTTGTTGTAGATTGTGCAGTGCCCTCTGTTGAGGATGCATCCGGTTACTATGGTTCCACTCAAAACTGATGGGAACGTGGGCTGGTTTGCAAGATAGCACCAAGGTTTCATGAATCTTGAACAGAACCGGTTCAAGAGCAGAACTAACTAATTTGGTGGAAAGGGGTTGTTTTCACTTCATTCCTGTGGGCCAGCAGTCAACCAGGCAGAACCAAAAAAATGTCAATATACTGTTTGTCCACACTGTAGTAAACATTTTTACATGTTGTTGACATTTCTATGTTCCATATTGCATTGTTTTATAATGCTGATGTAGAGTCAAAGACAGTTCCACTATGGTGCACAAGATGTTGGTGATATTAGAATGGCCTCATTCAGCATGAAGTAGCCTCACAGCTTTTACACCATTTTGTCTCTTACAGTGTATATATATGTATATATATATATATATATATATATATATATATATATATATATATACAACTTACTTACATTCATTTCAGTGAGGCAACAGTGAAATTAGAGTATGCATGTTGTTGTAGTGTATACTTGTGTTGAACAGTGAATGGAAGCTAATAAAACAGCAGGTATTCTCACATTGCTGATGTCCTCTTGAACTCACTGAAGGGCCCTTGAGGTCTGTGTGGAGCCCACTTCGCAACCACTGCATTAGTAGGTGAGGGTTCATGGAACCTGCAGTTTGTCAGCTCCTGCATGCAAGCACTGCAGAGCTGTGACAGCACATCACTGTATTAAATAACAGAATGAAGGGATAACTGATAGTTCTACAATGTCCATTGATAGGTGTAGTTACGTCATCCGAAGTCGAAACAAAGACCTGCATCGATCACACAGAATCCAGAAGGCTATGACCGGAAGTAAGACATGTTGCCTTCACAATAAAAGCACAAAGGTAAAAAGAATCAAAAATGATTGAGCATTGAAATGGTCTATGTAATTTGGTGATTATCAATACAACCCATGTAATTATTGTTGTACTGTCTGTTGGAAAGCGGCATCAGAAACCCTATAGTTTTCTTTTTTTCCAGTTTCTCTCAAATGTACTGTTTGTATATATGTAGGCATGTATAATTTTAGAATTCCATTTTAGTCTCATATTGGATACATGCATGTATCTCACCTGTATTTTTGTTTTAGTTTAACCAACCATTAGCCTGTACCAGCTCATACTTAATATTTGAAAGCCAAGGAAGATATAAAGACACTTTGGGCTGATGGCTTGAAGATAGTTGATTGTTGAGTCTCATTCCCATGGTCCCAAAAAGTCTGTATTTGATGCCCTGAGACTCAACAATCAACTATCTTTCTCTGCTCCAATTGGTTGTTTCTGTTCAGGCCTGGTGGATTTTGCAAATGCCATTAGGAGCACTAGGAGGAGACAGAGGAACCTGATTTTTTTCACAGATTATCTGTCTCATATACTGCTGTCAGGGTATAGTGAAAGTTTCGGCAAATATGACAAAGAAAATTATTTTTGTACAAATTACCTACTGCAGCTTTAATATTCTTGCAAAACTCTTTTAAAGGCGTGATACACTGTGAGACTACCCTACCATCTGTCACCATTCAGCATACAAAGTGGTTAAATGAGCTCCACCTAGACCACGTAGAACATTTAATTGTTAATGAATCAGAAATAAAATAAGCTTCCATATTAATTAATATTAGAACTCTGCAAAAACTGTCTGCTTACTTCTGTGCCCAAAAGTTTGAAAGGAGTATTTGTTCACTGGTTACAAACTATGAATACTTCCTCCACCATCTCTAGTTGGACAAAATAAATAAATAAATAAATAATCTCCATTTTTAGTAACGCCCCTCTGAGGCTCTTATTTTGAAAGCGGAAACGCTAGCGTTAGTGTGTATTCTTTTCAGTCTGACACTGGTAGGTTTTCAGCCCAGCATGTATTTTCAATTCCCGGACAGCTCCTCCACCACAGCTGCACAGCTGTGACAGGCGGGAGTCCGGGAGGGAGAGGACCACGGCGGACAGGGGAGCCGGTCCAGCCTGCTGGGACTCACCGGGATCATGGATCCGCGTTTGACATCAAAACCAACCATGACAGTAAAATGTTTTATTATCAGCATTCACCTGTGCGCGTGCATGTGAGGATGGTTTGATTTTTTCTTCCCCCCCTCTCATGTAGACTGACGGATAACCGGATGGGTTAAAGTTTGGATAATGGATGCTGGGCTGTGCGCTGCGGATCCGGAGCCAGATGATGTTTGATTACTCTGACTTTATTTTCCCTGTTGTTGGCTCTCTGATGGGAGACGTGCTGTGCTGTGCTGCACCGAGCTGATCCGATCATTCTCCGCTCTGTCTCCAGCAACTCCGGCTGAGCGACGGTATGCAAATACAAGTGAAAATCAGACTGAATCTGTGTGCGCGCCCTGCTCCATCACAGCCTCTGCAGCTGCTGCTACTGTCGGAATGCAGGTGGACTCTGGTCCGACTATGAGGAGCAGGATTAATTACTGCTAGATAGGTTTACACCGATTATATTCGTTTTGACTACTAGAATCAGCAAAGTATGTGTGATTTTGGATCTGTCTTTATATACAGTGACTGCCTCCTCCTGCTCTTTGAAAGTGAGCATCTCTGATTTCTATTTGTCTGTCAGGGCAAAAAAACCCAACACATTAGTCTTGAATGAACATTCAGATGTGTTGTTTCCAGATGCCAATCTTCTCCTGAGGTCAGACCCTCTCTGTAGGCCTGCTCCAGCCACCGAGCAGCTATGGACCCCCTCCCAGAGTACTCCCTGTTCCTGGCGCGGATCCTGGAGGAGCTGGACACCAAGCACAACACCATGTCCTACCAGGACCTGTGCATGTCCCTGTGCGCTCGCTTCGACCTGGTGCACCTGGCCAAGCTCCGCAGCCTGCTCTTCTACACGGCCTGCCTGGACCCCGCCTTCCCGGCAACCCTCTTCAAAGACAAGATGCGCTGCTCCATGGAGGACCCGCAGTCTAAGAAGCTCATGGTGGCCGCAGACATCGTCACCATGTTCAACTTAATCCAGATGAACGGAGGCATAGCCAAAGACAAGCTCCCCATAGTGCACAGAGGCAAGTTCCACAAGAACCAGTCGCTGGAGCTGTGCAGGTCTGACAATGATGCCTATAAGTTTCAGGACTGTGACATGGGTGTTGATTATGAGCACATGGATCACCCCAGGGACGGGCACCATCACCACCACCACCATCACCACCGCACCCAGCAGCACCCTGCGGCTCAGAGCGCCCCACCTATTCCTAAATCATCAGAGTGCAACAACTGCCAGCAGTTTATTCCCACCTCAGACCCCAACTTCCTTCTGGGTGTCAGCAAGGACCTGAAATGTAGGACAGCCTCACTGGACAAACTGCACCATCTGCCCCAATACTCCAGCGGCAGCCCGCCCTCTCCACCCTGCGAAATGCAGAGTACCTACTTTCCCATGGACATCGACAGCGAGTCCACCACCGACCAGGAGTCCCTGCGGCACATCGGCCATACAGAGCCCTTCACTGTTCACCCCTGCATGCAGAAGAGGAACATCTTCAAGGAGGACTTCCACAACTTCGTCGCCTTCTCACCACAGGTTTGTGTTTTCAGGATGCTGCTATGAAGTAAGAGAGGGAGGGCTACTTTGATTCAGTGTTATTGTACCTCTGCTGTTGTCAGGATGTGAACACTCATAAAAATATATTGGGTTGAAAAGTAACATTCCCAATTTTTCAAATGAGAAAAAAAAAAAAGAGAGATAGACTCCTAAATGTATTAAATTGACAAAATAACAAAAAAAAGCCATATGTAAAGCATGCAAGCAAAACTTTGGCCAACAAATATTTGATATATCTGCTTTATAAGTGACTTAGTACTTAATTGATGATCAAAATAGTCATTGATTAGTTTTAATTGACTATTTTCGGCACTACCAGTTGACCAGAGTTGACAGGAATTAGGCATGGAAATATGTACAGTCAGTGTACCTCTGATACCTTTCAATTCATTTGAATACATAATAAAGTGAAATGTTTGAACAAATTTTCTTTCAAGCCATGAATGGTCATGAAAAAGTGTAATTGTTTAACATAATAATAAAGATTCTAGGAAATCTTGAATATGAATATTTCAATGTAAAGTAAAGTGCAACAGATATAAAACACCATAAGCTGATAAATACTCTAAGTGGTTACTTTTTAAATCAATTTGTTAACTGATATATGCGTTGATATGCAATTTAGATGGAGCAAATCGAGTACAGCTGGGATTAGTGTCCTGTATAGCGACTGCCAGGTGACATATGGTGCAGTGTGCTCAGTTTAGTAATCGTGCTAAAGTGAGAGTTCAGGTAAGAGAAAATATTGGCTTCAGGAATGTGCACCTGGCATTCAGAACAAAAATGCTTAATCATCATTCTGTAAAACACTGTGATGTAATGATGATGTAATTGTACTTTAAGTATCAAATGATTTCATTATGCTGTACAACCCCATTCTTAGTGTTATATTAAAATTATGACAGTTGAAATGTTAGTATTGATGTGTTCAGATGTAAGCATTTGTGTACTGTAAGTAAATACTGATTTTCAAATTAACTAGCTTCTACAGCCATATGATAAACGTGGTGGAGTATAGTAGTAGTACAATATGTCCCTGTATATGTACTGAAGTAGAAGTTTAAAACAGCATAACATAGAAAAGTCAAGTACTTGAAAAAGTACTTAAGTACAACAGTTGAGTAAGTTAACTACTTTACTTTCCACTACTGCAGAAAAATAAACAATGCAGTGTTTCATACCCTTTACCTAACAGACTGGAAGTGGCAGCATAGACAAAGTTATATCTCAAAATGCATCCCCTAACCTGTATTGTATTCTTGCATATAAATTATGCATTACCAATTTAGTAGGACTCTCACAGTGTTTAATTTATTCACAGCTCTTAATGGCTGATGGTCGGTCTATTACGTACAGCATACACTATGCTGTTATTCTGACACCGATCATTAATTCCTGCTTTTGATTAATGAGTATAAATACCAAATTACATAATCTTACACACCCCTTTTATTCTGAAAGTCAGAGGTCCATAATGGTAGTCCAATGAACACAACTCGACTGAGTGCTCCTTCAAATATGTATTTCTCTTACAGTGTATCAATTCTTTTGCTCAGTTTAGTAATCAGTTTGCATTTTGTTTCCAACATATAACCCCTGGAGGGTTCCACAGCCCTCCACAGCCCCGCTCTGCTGTACTGTGTTTGCTATGTTAGTGTGTTTTAAAAGCCAATTCGGTCCTTGTCTGGGTTACTTTTGTAGGTCATCACCACTGAGTGCAAACAGGGCAGCAAAGCAACTGATGCCTACCACAGGAGGGAACTGCACAAGCCAGCCACCTTCTTCAACCACAGCTTTGAACTGCCCTATAGCAACCCCTACTTTGAACCGCCACTCAACTCCCCTCTTCAGGACAGACGGAGGGTGAAGCACGAGAGCCTAGACGACTTACAGGCGTCCACGTACTTTGGCCCAACCACGGTGTCCGAGTGCGTCAGCAGCAGGAAGCACAGTCACAAAACAGGAAAGCAGCCGTCATGGCCAGTGAAGAGCCTCAGTCTCAACACAGAAGAGGGGCCTCCGGACTTTGAGAGGTCATTTCTGAACAGCAAACCGCTCAAAGAAAACCACCACCGCAATATCAGCATCATCAGCACTGACAACGAGCAGCATTTTCAGAGCCCAAAGGAAAAGGTAGTAGCTTCTCCATCAGGCTTTGCAAAAAAAGCAAATGGAATAAAAACCAAGGATGTAGCACTGATGGCAAGTGGGCCTGCAGGTTTGGACAAAAGAGAAGTAGCCAAAAGGTTTAGGGACAAAAATATGAACAGTTCATCATTTCAGGGAGTTGACAGCTCTTCTAGTGTTGGGACGCAAACAGAGCAGGCTGAGCAGAAGAAGGCGAAGGAATACCCAGCTAAATACAGCGACAGAGAACGACACACCTTCAAACACTCTGACGAGGACTCTGAGATCATTAGTGATGACATAAGTGACATTTTTCGTTTTCTGGATGATATGAGTGTTTGCGATTCTCTGGGCGTTGTCCAGCCATCATGCTACAACAGCAATGGGTCTCTCTCTCAGGTAACGCTAAAGTCTGAAGGAGACAGCTCCCCTGAGCGCAACACGGTCAAACTGGCCAAATCCAAGCTGGACCGCCTCTTCCATTCGCTGGAAAACACAGACGATGAGCTCAAATCAAGCGTGTGCAAGCTGGTGATGAGGATTGGTGAGATCGAGAAGAAGTTAGAGTCTCTGTCAGGGGTTCGGAGTGAGATCTCCCAGGTGCTCTCCAAACTCAACAAGCTGGATGAGAAGATCCAGGAGCCTGACGTCAATGGGAGACAGGGGGAGACGGCATCTGCGTCCGGATCCAATGCCACCCCGGACAAACCGCAACCCCACCCTCATCCGCATCCCGACACCACCCTCTCGCCTCGTGTTTTCCAGTGCCACACCACCGGCCACAATGTCAAAATGGACAATGGCTCCTCTGGGGAGTGGTGTTGCTCAGATGGGAGTAACAGCGATAGCCTCAGGGTAAAAGCTCTGAAGAAGAGCATGTTCACCAGGAGGTCGTCCCGCTCACTTAACGAGGAGAACAGCGCCACTGAGTCAAAGGTGTCCAGCATCACCAACTCTCCGCGGGACTGGAGGACAGTGTCCTACTCTTGCCACCCGGGAGACGAGGGCAAAGACAAGGACAGAGACAGCAAGGACAGACACCGGAAAGCCAAAGAGGTACAGACACTGTTTTTAAATTCACATAAACACACAGTATGTGACATAAGTAAAACATAAATTATGGATTCAGGAAATGGCACAATTAAAAAGAACATATGCAGTGATTCACGCAACAGAGGCATCAAATATAGATTAACACTTACACTGAATGGAGTCACAAAGACAATGACTGAAAGTTAAAAAAAGAAAATACAGTGGAGAACATACAGGGTGATCTCAAACTTTGTGCTGCATATCTAATTATTTTACAGGGGCATCACAGTAGTTTGTGTTAAGGAATATAATCTGCAATATTAGTAGGGCTCCACAATTAATAGGAATATTATCAAAATTGCAATATGGCCAACTGCAATATCCACAGTGTGACAGCAGCATTATAATGATGTACCGTTGTACTGCAGGTATGCCCTGGCCTACAAATCTTGTTCTCCAGATTTAAGAAAACATTTTGTTTGGTACAGATCCCAAGAAGAATAGTTTTCAGTGAAAATAAAAATTGTGATGCAAAAATGATCATTCTCACTTATAACAACAATCTGTCAAAAGAATAGCAATATGATGATTTACCATATCTTGCAGCCTTAAATGGCAGGATTTTACCTTATGTCTTGGAGTTGTCCCCATAGAGAAAGTATTGTTACAAGTTTGGCCAGTTGAGTTTCTAGGACAGTAGGTTGACCATTAAAGCTGCCAGTATTGAGCTTCCCAACTTTAACTCTTCAATTTTCTCTGCTCTTGCATTCAGGGACGATAAATAATGTCTTTATTGATGGTGAACATGCATTATGCTGAACTGCAGTGAGAAATCATGTTTAACACTCACTCCCACTTTTGGAGGAGGCCCTGCTAAATGAAAATAAATGGAACAGTTTTGATTGTTGGACCGTTGTAATGAATTTAGACATCAAGTTTTTAAGGATTTATTACAGTGTTGGGCTGCCATATGGCTTCGTTAGAAAGAAAGAAGAAAGGCGCCATGCTTTGATCGGGACTTGTATCAGAGAACATCTGGGCATATTTTAATGGATCCTGTTTCACCCACCTCAGCCTGCTGGTGTTGCATCATTGCTCTCCTCTATGGCAGCTGGGCTCTACAATGCAGCATTTCACAGTTCATGAATGAAAATTAGAGATTGGGTATGTGAAAAAGTATTCAGGTAGCAGCTTCTCATTTCTATCTATGACCAGTTTTCACCAGTTTAAATGACAAACTTCGAAGGACTGACAGACTGTATCAACCTTTGCTAATAAACATCAAATCAGTTGAGTTACTTGTGAGGGAAGAAACTCTGAGTGGACTGAGGCAAAAGTGGATAATGTCAGTATCAGGAATCACATTCTCCATGTTAAACTTTTATTGAACTCATCAATTTAATAGTTTTAAACCACAACCTTAGGTATATGGACTAAGTAGCTAGTGAAAACAATAATGTAGTAGGCACCTTTCATTGCAGTGTGCCAGATAGATATTTAATCAATATTATGTATCTGCTGCTATATAGAGATCTCACAGTTTTGGCAAATCGATATCATGGCACTTCAAGTAGTGTGGGATCAGAGTTGTTGTCCTCACCACCATTGCTGTCATTGCTAACGTTAGTTCAGCTTGTTTCTCTGATAACTCGGGTTCTGGGAAACTGATTAAAAAGACGTTTTATCAAATTAATGATCAATCCAAAAAAGAATCAACAGAATAACGAATATCTGTAGTCATTAATTGCAGCCCAGCTAAAAAAAGAAAAAACACAAATCATTATCTACTATTTCCGTGTAGGTTTGAGTAATGTAAACTGGATAACCCTCCAGATAAATCATATGGGGTTAAAAAGCACTTCCACTTTCAACTAACACAGCAGCTGTGTCGAAGGATACCAGCGGATTCTAGCGGTAAATCTGAGCTGAGATGTAAAAGGAGCTCCCTTATTGCCATGTGGCTCCTTTGTCTGACATGTCATCTTTCACAGCTGCAAAGAACAGACTAAAGCAAGAATGCAGCCGTTTGGATCCAAAAATGGAAATACTAATTGGAAAGTACAGTTTATTATGTAGCTATACCTTCAGTGAGATATAAACAAACAGCTTGGAAAATACACTCACAGTTTCATTTTTATTTCAAATGGAGAGCTCAACATTTTGGAAAATACTTATTTACTCTCTTTCAGTGTCTGAGATGTTCAGTTCTGTGTATTTCGTCTAGGGGGAAAAGCTGGCCTGGTTCTCTCCAAAGTTAAAAAATACATCTACTAACACTTCTGTTGTCTTGTTTCCACTTTGTATCTCGTTTGTTTAATCAGTGGTTTATCCACTCCAGAGGTGATAGAGGATCTCCACTTACAGGTGCTGGTAATGTGGGTGCTCGGAAACTTGGGCACCTTGGGTATTTGTGAGCACCAATGCTAAACTCGTAACTGTAAGGATACCATATTGGGAGCAGTGCTGGGCCAGTTACTCAAACATATTTATTACTAATTTCAGAAGTAATATTATAACTTCACTCAACAGTAATTACTTACACTACTAGTTCTATTACTTTTCTGCTACTTCCCACACAATTAAAAAACAGTTTTGTTTGTTAAAATCAAAGTAATGGAATATTTCCAGCGTTTCTATCTTCCAAACTAGTTTCCTCCACGATTACAAAAATAAATCCAGTAACTAATATTATTACTGAAATGTATTAGTAATAACTACTACTACTAGATACTGGGGAAAGTAATATCATGACTAGTAATGAGTTGCCCAACACTGATTGGGAGGACAGTGATGTTGTTCAATAAAGCTCCATAGAGAAATGGACACTGTCAAAGCAGTGACTTAATTGTGAGCTAAACGTTTCTCTATAGAACGTTTGTGGTGTCATTCTACACTCCTCTATACATTTTGACCAATCAGTTGTGTCATAGAGTATAGAAAGCATACAAAAGCAGTACATATTTAATTTAACACACTGTGTCCATTAACATCAAGACTTTTGTAAATATGTAGGTAGATGCTCAAGTGCAGTGTCAGTGACATCATTATACCCTAATGGTAGCTGCATTAGAGTCTGGTTCAAATGTACTCTATGGTCGATTGGATCACTGAGCCGCTCAGTTAAATAGCTTCAAATGGACTGATCTGAGCTTGTGTGTATGTGGTGGGTGAGTGACTGTGAGCCTGTGAGTGTGCAGCCTGACTCTATGTAAGTAAGTTTGGTGAAACCCACTCAGTCTGGATTTTTTTGTGCTGATTATCAGGGTTGCAACTAACGATTATTTTCACCGTCAATTAGTCTGGTGAGCATTTTCTCGATTAATTGATTCAATAAAAGGTTGATCGTCTTGTTTTGCCCACCATCCAAAAGATATTCAGCTTATTGTCATAGAGGACCAAAGAAACCAGAAAATATTCAAATTTAAAAAGCTGAAATCAGAGAATTTGGACATAAAATTTAAAAAACAATTAATCGATTATCAAAATATCTGGCAAATCGTTGCAGCTCTTCTGATTATTTTGTTTGGTGTTGATTTGACTTGGTTGATGGTGGTTGGTTGGAGATGAGGTGGTTGTGTTGACTGACAAATTGATCAACCTAATATGAAATGAGGATGTGACAGCATTTGCAACATTTGTTTCTTCTACACACAGCTTCAAGTTGTTTTTTGCCAAAAATAGATTTGGCTCTGATGTCCTTGGCTGCAGCACGACTTGCCAGATACAGTCGATGAGCACAGGTTTTGCTCCTGGCACTGTGATGACAATACGTCTGAAAGCAGTTATTCACCAATTAATAATTCTTGTTAGGACTGGGTGATATTACCATATGCACCTTGAGATGAGGTTTTTCCTTACTGTTTATACCATGGCAGCTATGCCTTTAATATTTCTGGGTGTATTAGGCCATTATGAGCAGGACTGCAATACTGGATTTCTTGTTAGTTTTGCATCAATGTGATGTAATGTCATGATTTGAATGCATGTGTATGAAATGTATTTCCAGACACTAAGTCACACTTCTTGTTCTTCAGAACTTCAATATTACAAGATTTACGCACACAAAAGACCAAGGACAACTGTTATCAGATATATAATAAGTTTAGCCCAGGCAGAGATCCATCACACACATTAGCTGAAGGCATGAAGCTTGACAGCACAATTTCCAGCATTCAGGCAGGATGAAAGGCAGCATGAAGCCAAAATGTGGCATCAGAGACTGGACTAAACTAGTTGAAGTTTGGGGTTGAAGGGTAGGGAAGTGACAAGTGGAGCTGATCCTTATTGGCGCAAACCTTAAAGTTACACCTCTTTTACCAGATGTTCCAATGTTCAGATTTGGAAATATCTTATGTGTTACTTGTGTGTTAGTATAGAATTGAGAGTAGTTTTCAGAAAACCATTATGAATATTTACACTTTCAAGTACTGCCAGAACCCCTGACATTAATTATTACTGCTGTTATATACGTCAGAGATGTTTTTAATACCAGACATCAGTGAAATTAACGTAAACATAACATTCTAGTCCTTACCTCTTATTGTGTACCGCCACCTCTGGTGAGTATGGCTGTACCCACCATTGAGGTCACCTGTACTTTTCCAAGGGGTATACAGAAAAAGTTGTGAAATGATTACCTTGATGCTTAAAAAACACAGGCAGTTTTTGCACATTTTGAGGGAAACAGTCTTGAGGTCTCTGTTGCTTGGTTTTATGGCAGAAGCTGGAACCGAGGAATACAACTGAAAGAAAACTCATTAGAGCCAGGAAGAGTTTCTAACGCAGTGTCAATCACTGTACGTGCACAGGTTGCGCAATCCCCCTTCACACTGCATGCCCTCACTCAGTAAAGCTAAATATCTTAAACATTGGAGGGGTCTTTGAGAAGACGATTCACCACGAGAGGGACTGGGGTGTTGGTGAGGCTCTTGCTGTTGAGAGCAAGCCCTATGAGGGATGAGATTTTGCAGGGTTACTACTTCTGCTGCCATACAAACTTGTGGGTTTGGTGGGAGGGGCTTATGCAAGCAGGAAGGTTTTGCATTGTGTATGTTCAGTTGTGTTGGCAGATGTAACCTAGGCTGATCCCTCGCCGGGTGGCGCTGTTCTGCTCGCAGCCCGAGCTCTCGCTTGCTGCTGTTGTGCTCCCACAGATATCGATGGGTCTAGCTTTGTTGAGCCTAAGTTAAATTGGGAGAGAGTGGGAGTAGGTGAAGAGTTCGTTTTAGGAGGAGCATGAAGAAGCAGGCACTGCATGTTATATATCAATATCTTGTATTAAAATAAGCCTATTACTGTGATACAGTACCGTGATAGAGTATCAATACAGCACATCCTGACTCCAACTCTTTACTTAACTCACAGATGTGAGATTGATATTGATCTCAACACCTTGCAAGGCAAATAAGTATATTTTCCAAAATGCTTTCCATTACAGTTTTTTTTCCAGCTTTATTGTTTTGCTCCCCACACAGCCCTGCTGACTGGAAACAGGATTTTAACACAGCATGTTGAAATGTCAAAATGTCTCAGCAGGTGTTAAACACACTAGTCATTCTCTGTGACCTTTCTGCTGGGAGTTAAATGGAGCGGATGTTAATTGAAAGGGGGCCTGACCCTGAGCTGTCTTTGTGCTGTCTTTTGCTGTGTCAGCACATCTCTTAAACAGCTGTATACCATGTCAGTGCCATGGAATAAAACTGACCCGGGAGAGGCATCTATCTTTTTATTTACACCTGTGTCTGTATCACTTAACCTTCCTTTTTCTTTCTGGAGAGTCCTTTTATATTACATTCTAGTGTTGGGACCATGGCAGAAAATTGAGCGTTAGACTCTCTACCTCTTACGTAATTTAATATTTTGAACAAGCAGCACTGTAAAAAAGGTAATTTCTAATTTCTGTTTTTCAGCTATAGAAGAAAAAGTGACAAAAATGACAAGATAAAACAAATGAAAAAGAATGCAAGTTGAATTTTAGTGAAATAAAGGGCAGCACGATACAGCATTGTTTTACGGTCAGATGTCAGTGTTTTGCTGTGGTCTGATCCTTATTTGGGTGTGTGAATTCACGGTTCAACACTTTCTTGGTTTGCTGCATTAAAAGGACCAGTGTGTAGGATTTATTGGTAACTAGTGATGTAGTTGCAGATTGCAACAAGTGCACGGGTGAAACTACAGTGGTCGCAAAAACACAAACTGCCCTATCTAGAGATTTGTCCGTTCTGGTCTACCGTAGAAACATGGCAGACTCTGTAGAAGAGGACCCGCTCCCTCTGTAGATATAAACAGCTCATTGTAAGACAAAAATACAAAACACAATTCTTATTTTCAGGTGATTATACACTAATGAAAACATACCTGAATATTACATTCCATTTCTGATAATAGAGTCCAAACACAGATGCGTCAAACCATCTTCTGCTTTATACCCTGTGATCTCCTCTCCATCTCAGCTGTCCTTTTTAGTTCATACTGCCAATGTTGAGCAGCTCAATAAGGGCACAGTCACACATGCAGAAATTTGCACCTTTGCTTCAGCTTTGGTGAACTTTTACCAGTGAAGTCTCAGCCTCAACGAATTGCAAAGAAATCTGGCCTCTGTCCTCATAATATCTTAATACTTAACCACTTTCAGTCTTACATCTTGCATTGTATTTTGCTAGGCGATATGAACCTAGTTTTGTCAAGCAAGCATTTTGAATGTGAACATCGGAACTGACTGGTCAAGCTCTAAAGAGAAAAAGAAACCTTAGCAGAACATTGTGATCATCTCAGCACTTCCATTCAATGACAGCAGCATTATTACTACATTTTCAGCTGCGTGGTGGTTTGGAAAATGCTGCTGCAGATTGCGTTTTCCTTAGTTTTACTTACTGATACACTCAGCTACATCCACTGACTGTAACCTACACGCAAAATATAGAGCCATAGTGTTGCCAAAAGGACAATATCTTGGTTTGCATTCGGGGTTTGCATTTCAATAAAGGAGTCATTAGTCATTAGTTCTAACCAGTACTGTATAATTTCCTCTACACTGCCATTTTCAGCCCTCCTTTTTATCATCCTCACCCATTACTGGAGTTGTGCCAAGACTCCACAGTGGGAGCCATGTTGCCTGTGCACATAGCCATGCAACTTTTATTTTATTGTCTGATTATTGTGCTCATATATTGGACCTCCTGCCGCTGGAAGTAAATATCCTGAAGCTGAGTTAAATACATCTTGAGAGAAGATTTGTTGATTTATTTTTGTTTAACCTGCTCAACAAATACAGTACAGATAAAACTGATAAAATCACAGCTTTAATCAAAGAAAGTGGCCAGATATTTGTGAGGAGAAAAAAAGTCAGTGTCCGCATCATTGATTGTGTGGCTCATTGATGTGGTTTTAATAGTTGGCACAGGGGAAAAAGATATTCAGTATCAGGCTTTGGATTCACACACAATATTTGTTGACTGTAACAAAATACAGACGTATCCTTTAAATAGAGGCCTCCTACTGCACTTCTGTTTAATGTGTCACATGAGCATGTTCATATGTCGCTGTGTATTGGTCTGGTACACTGGTTGTGTAACTAGTGATGGCGGTCAGTGGTGTGATAAAAACAAACACTTGTATATGAAAACCATCTACTGAGAGGGATTGTGCTTCATCATATATTCAACTTAAACCACCTGCCACTATCGAAACACAACCAACAATCTATGAAACAAACCTTTAACACTAGAACCACCAAGGCAGTCATTTTGACCGTTTTTAAATTTTACAGTGTAATAACTTTGTTAAAATAAAATCAATGTGGCTGTAGGACTCTGACTTTTCCTAAATATGTGTATATTTTATTCTGACACTGTTATTTTATTAAAATAACAAAACACAAAACAGTTCTGAGTATTTCTACCTAGAATGGCCATGGCCGTCATTTTGACCGCACGCGTTATAGATATCATATTTAAGTCCGCTACATTTCCCGCCATTGGTAATGAGTGTCCCCGTTGCATAGCAACGATCAGTTTTTCTGTCCTTTTTTGTTTACACTATTTCCAACACTATAAGTTATACATTTGAGCTAACAAAATCTCATCAAAAAGAAGAATGACAGTTTCAGAGGCTTGACGATGAGGAGTCTGATGGAGGAGCAGGTATGGATAGGGACAGCAATGTCTCTTGGTCCCTGGACAGTTCATCCAGCTCTGAGAGTGATTCAGATAATGAATTCATTCCCCGTCGAAAAAAGAGCCGGCTGGACATCTCCGATCCTGGAACTGACCTTGTTCCATTGGATAATATTCCAGGTATGCTTCTCTTGATACTTTGCGAGGCAGACTAGCCAGGCTATTATCAATAATAGTTGTACTTCAAAGTAAAGTTACCCGTCTCTAACTATCCAAGGTAGGCTATAACGATCAGATCTGCTATCGAAAACGGTTGTCATATTATTTTTCCCCTCACACACCCACCGCTGTTACCAACGCACCTTTCCTGATGACCGATCCATTCATTCACATTTTTATGTCAGGCACACACCTCCACCGGCACACACCTTTTCATTATTATTATTCTATTGCTATTATTAGTATTATACTATATCGTCTGGCTAGTAGAAATCATATAGGCTAATATTAGTCCTAACAAGATTAGGATTTCATGAACTAAAATAGTAATTAGTCTGTTCCTTTTTTTTTTTTTTGGCAATAGTGCAAAATCCTGATCCATCAGATGTGTCTGCTGTGCCAAGACAACTCAGTCCGCCACGAGATGAGGAAGCTGGCCCAATAAACCCACTTTCAGCCGAGAGGCGTGAAACGGCAAAAGATGGCACAGTGTGGGCCTATACAGAGTCAGGTGAAGACAGAGGAAGGCGACAATGCCGAAATGTAATAACAGAGGCGGCAGGCCACACAGCACATGCCAAGCGCAATATTGAAGATGCCCTTACAGCCTTTTTGTGTTTGGTGGATGATGGCATGCTGAAACACATCAGGGACTGCACTGTGGCTGAGGCCCACCAAGTCAAGGAGGACAAAATATGGAGGACAGTTGAAGAGCTAAAAGCCTTCATTGGTCTAATTTACATTTGTGGCGCGTAAGGTGGAAAAGGGATGGATTTGGCGAGCTTTTGGTCAGCCGAGTGGGGCTGCGCTTTTTTCAAGGAGACCATGTCCCAAAACAGGTTTCAGGAAATCATGCGAGTCCTGCATTTTGACAGAAGGGAAACCCGACGCACACGCCTGCAAGACAACAAGTTTGCCCTTATGAGTGATGTTTGGGACAGATTTGTCCAAAACTGCATCGTCTGCTTCAAGCCCGGTGCCGACATCACTGAGCAGCTATTCCCTACAAAGTCAAGGTGCAGCTTCATCCAGTATATTGCAAACAAACCAGACAAATTCAGAATCAAATTCTGGCTTGCTGCGGATGTCGACACCAAATATATGGTAAAACCGTGCGCCTTATCTTAACGAGACGAGGACGCCAGGTCAACGACTTGGAGACAGTGTGCTGCTGAAAATGGTCGACCCATACCTGGGGAAGGGAAGAAACGTCACCACCGACAATGTTTTTACTTCCTTTGAACTGGCCAAGGCACTTCAGGCCAAGAAAACCAGCTTGGTTGGCACGGTAAACAAGAGCAGACGAGAACTCCCCCCGTGCGTAAAGGCGCAAAGGCCGCTGTTCAGCACAGAGGTGCTGAAAAATGGCGATGCAACACTGACCGTGTATCAGTGCAAAAAAAAAAGCAATGTCTGCATCCTCAGCACTGTCCACACAGCTGTTGGCATCACAAGTGGCCAGAAAAGCAAGCCAGAGACGGTCACATACTATAACAAAACCAAGGTAGGAGTAAATGTTCTAGATCAAATGGCTAGAAAATACTGGCCGCCAGTAGCTGTTTTCTATAACATCCTCGACCTGGCTGCAATCAACACGCACATATTGTACAAGAAGTGTACGAATGAGCAAGTTTTGCAGAGGGACTTCATCACGCAACAAGAGATCAAAAGCCACACAACTGGTGGTGCGAGAGCCAGGACCCGGGCAGGAGCATCAGCAGATGGAGAGAAGAAGGCAGTGCCAAGTAAGGAGGAACATAAAACCAAGGAGACATGCGCCAAATGTCACAAAGTAGTGTGTGGGAGCTGCACACGAAAGGCGGTGTTTACCTGTGTGGACTGTGCGTAAGCGTCAGTGAATGATGCGGGGTTTTTGCGCCGTTCAAATGAGCCCACTTGGAGGAAAACTTGTTAATCTGAATTTGTTCGGTAAAATTTTTTGTTCACTGAAACTAATCGTTCTAAAGCAGTTTGTTTTCTTGTTTAGCTAATGTTCATGTTTTTTCTTTGCCTGTTTTTGTGTGTACTGTATTGTGCTGCATACGTGTCCATGAAAGTTTTGACAATGTATTCAAACGTATATAGGTAATGTTTTTGTTATTGTATATATGTTATAAGTTATTGTATCATAAGATTTGTTTTTATTGTACAAAGAAAATAAGATAATATTTATCAACCAGAAAATTCCTAAAGAAATTTTGATTGTGCCTTACTCTGGCCCATATATTAATACCATGTCTTCCTCTCTAGCAGGCTAGCTAGCTAGCGCTAGGATATTAATACCATGTCATTCTCCTTAGCTAGCTAGCACTAGCAAATTGAGAACAACTTCAACTTTCATTGGATTAATACTGAAAAGAGCGCTAACGCTAATCGCTAGGTACTCGCTAAGCGCTAATCGCTAGCTAGGCGCCAGCTTTTGTTAATGTGTTAAATTGTATTCTGCACCTGAAGGAGTGCTAATGTAAATTAAGGAACAGCTCATAGCAGGGTAAAATATTTAAGGAGCTAGCATATTAATACCAGAGAATGTCTAATAAGGGGAGAAGTTCCACTCTCGGTATACTTCCGGCTTCTGAACTGTTGCAGTTCCACTCTGGCTCCATATGAGGGCGCTCACAGGATGAGTGCAGAATGAATGGCGGTCTATAGAGCTATACCCTCAAAATCCACTTTTCTCAGGATATAATTTTTTGTCTAGTAATTTGAATGTTGCATTCGAAAGGGGATGCAAAGAAATGACACATTGCTGGGTGTTAGATTTTTTAGAGTCACTTATTTGCTTTAAAAAGTCTTTTAAAATGTCAATGATGTCATACACATCGTACGGCCAGAGATACTGCTTTACAGCAAGCCTCTTTGTGCTTCCGCGCTCTGCACTTCCTTTTCTCTCGAGGCATCGACAACACAGCTGACACAGGTTAGGCTCTCCCTGTCAATGCACGTGCTAGAAAGAGTTTTTGTTTTGCTGTTTTAAACACCACGCTGAAATATTCATATTCCCGCTTCGGATGCCACGATGCCATCAAGCGGGATCTCTGGTCGTAATCAGTCCTTCACTGACCAATCAGCGTTCATTAGCAGAATGCTAGCGCGTTATGGGCAACAACATCTCAACCTGTAAGAAATCAAAAGGACATAAGTACTCGTTCATTCAACTTTCGACCTATAACCCTGCACTTGCAAAAACCCTTGCAAAAACTACAATCAAATCTGAGATTTCTCAACGACAATTCACAATTCATTTTGCACTCATGGGCGATCGCCCCCAGTGGAACTCTGGTGGAACTGCAACCAAAATTTGGTACAATGGGATTTAACAGAGAGTGGCCAGGCTCTCCGTAGACGGGCTCTGTTAATACCTTCTAATTATCTTTAGCTAGCCAGCTAGGTAACGCTAGCTTACTCCTGTGTAGCTAGCTATGTGTGTGCGTGTATGAGTGTGTCCACAGGCAGGCTTTGGTTGCCATGGCAACCAGGGCAGGCCACAGCAGCTGCGGCCTCTCTCTCTGTCTCTTAACTATTGACAGGGACAAAAAATCTCAAAATGAATCCCCTCGAGCCATTGGCCAGGAACGACAAAAATGAAATCCGACAAGACCGTGAGCATCGTCATCTTATTGACCATAGGAGGCCGTGAGAGGGCGTTGCTGGCGCATCAGTGCATTTCCCACCAAAACAATTAGTCTGACAGCTTCAGCGGTGGTATCACTGCGACCCCAATGGATTTACCTACGTTTCTATCTATAAATTATTTCTGTAGAGTGACATTTGTGGCCTTGAGAGAAGTTTACAAATTTATTTTTCGACAAATTTTTCTTACTCCCTCCACTCTAACCGAAACGGCAGTTGGAATCAGTTGAGCATTCTACCAATACACACCCATTCATTTTTTGGACCGGTTTCTGGCGATTTATCGGCAAACTGTTTGGTGAAACGCTTAGCACTAATAGTCATAGCACTAATGTCCTCACCGAGCCGCACGTTTTGGTACCTTTTTGTGTATATGCGATCAAAGCTGCGGAAGGAGTAGCGCGCCGAAAAACATACGTTAGAATAATAAGCACACGGCATAATAATATTGTGCTTTTCAAGGCACAATAATTAGGTTGGAAAATACATTTTCACATTCATTTGAATTTAAATTTTGTGTCCTGATCTTTATTATTACCTATCGTAACATTGTAGATCCATTTATTTTTAGATTTTGCATTGATTATTGAACTTATTTACGAACAGGGCTGTACTAAACGTTAACTTTTTTGCATGTCTATTCACGTGGTGAGTGCGGTGAAAAAAATCTTTTTGACGCAAAACTTTCCTCACACAGAGAGGCAGCCCCTGTCGGGGCAATCTTTCTTTTATGCTTGTTTTAAGGGCGATGACGTCATAACATGACAACAGGAATTAAAAGCTTCATTGGAAATCTTGAAGAAGGTTCAAATGTAGATATGACATGACGAAAATGACGTTCAGTACGGCCATATGAACGTCATGGTCGTTCTAGTAGTTATGGAATCCGGTAGTTCTAGTGTTAAAAGGTTATAAATAACCTAACTTCGATACTTGTATGGCAGCAACTGAATGGCTTTGATACTATTGAGGAATGCCTAGTCATTCGGTACTAAATTGTGATATCTAAAAGGAGTAAATCTCATCAGTGTCAGTACACCAATAAGCGTGCAGCATGCTTGTACCAAGATCTAATAATACTGGTGATTGTGTGTCTAATGTTACGTGCCACCAACAGGGAACCAGCCCGGTTCTGTTTCAAACACCTAGTTTTGAACTGCCAAAAAATATAAAATATATGGTTTTCCTTGGGAACCAAAGTGGGAGTGTCATATTCTACAGGTCATTGTGCAGTGCCCTCTGCTGATGATGCATCCGGTTACTATGGTTCAGCTCAAAACTGGTGGAAACGTGGGCTGGTTTGCTAGGTAGCACCAAGCTTACAAGAAACTTGTGTTGGAAGTGGTTCAAGAACCAGAGCTATTTTAGTGAAGAAAGAGGCCTCAGTGTACTTTGCACTGCTTGTTAGCTAGCCAGTGCAGCTAACCTGTATCTGCTCGTTGATTAGTCCATTCACCACATCGTCCACCGGGACGGAAGCCTCGGTGCATCGTTGGTGCATGATCTGGAACCTAGGCAGACAGCGTTTCTGACAGCAAACATGGTGTCACTTACAGAACAACGGTAAACTGAGAGGAATAAACCTGAGGTTGTCAGACCGGGGTGAGAAAGTAAGAGGTCTCACTCTGCCACTATTTCCCAGTACCACAATTGTCACCCAGCCACATTCCCTTCACCTTTGGATCAGCCAGACTAGACGCTACAATGACGTATTGTAACCATACATTCATTATTAATGTCCTGTTGACAGTTATTTTTTTTTATATAGTCTAATACTGTACAGATATTCCATCAGTTGCTGTATTTCCCAGGTCTTTGAACAGCTTCCTCCTTATGAGTAATTAAACCGTAATGTGCAGTTTTCTTTTGTTAAAATGAATTTAAGCATTTTTAAACAATACCCAGCTCTATAAATAACAAGATAATCTTAGATAAAATGAACACTGGTTTTTCAAATTACATTCTTGCTGCATGTCTCTAAGCTCTGCTATGAGATGACTATGCTATGCTGACAACCATGTGTATAGACTTCCAGCAAGTATTTCACAGTTCAGCAACTCACATGAGCACAATACTTTCACAGTATGATGGTATATGAGGCGATAGAGACATATTCAGCTCCCTAATTCACAAAATGACGAAACTGGCAGCTATCAGAAACTGTGTGTTTTGGGAATTTTGCTATTTACAGCTGCCTTCAACATTGCGGGTGATAAAAACCAATATCTACTCATCATCAAAATGTCTGTGGTTCAGTTTAATGACATAACGCAGAGCTGGTAAAGGTCAGCTTTGTAGATGTGCAGTCTTTGAAGCTCAGGCAGACCTCTGTCTGACACATACGTCAGTGGTTACAGATATAGGGGCATGTTGTTCCTTGTGATGGCTCATGTCCTGGTTTTTCAGGGTTATTAATCTTTTTATAGGCACCTTTAATGCCACTCTCTAATATTCTAGTATTAATGTGCTTGTATGCCATTCTGTTTCATAACATGTTTTAGTTTCCTGGATCATATTAATATAGCCATAATACCTCACAAGGCTGTAATGAAGACCAGTTAAGTCAACAGTGCCGAAACAGAGCCAGGATAGCTGTGGGTGGAAGCCAGTATAATGACGCCTGAGAAAGATGTCTTATTCTGTGCAAACATTGGAGGGGAATGTGATTACTGACCAGCTGCATGTTTGGTGTACATTCAGACTAATCATATTATTGCTGCATAGAGTCTTTAACAGATTTCCTGTCTAGTAGTTGGCCGCGAAATTACAGTGAAGTTTTGATTACCCACACGGGGAACCTGCCCGAGTAAAATAATGACAGGATATACCGGATATTTAAGGTGATTACGCTGTATAGACACTGTCACAGGGGTGAATTGGGGCAGCAGAGGGAGAAGGACTGAAACACAGACAATAGAGACAATAGAGACAGACAGCAGTTCAGGGAGAGGAGAGGAGGGATGCCACTGAGGCTGTGTTTATGCTGATTAAATGGCGCAGTGCAATTGGGGTGCTCATTTTGGCGTGAAATTGCAAATGCTGCTACAACTATTAAATAATCTTAAATTGATTGATATGATATGCACATAAGGTTTCACTGGGGATTCCTACTATTGAAACTGCCTCAATGCATTGCACTGAACATTTAACCACCGCTCTGTCGATGCTGTTGAACTTCAAAAACACAAAGTCCGCTCATGATCATACAGTGATGTTCACAAATGCTCCTTGGGTCAGACAGCAGCTTGCCTGTCTACACAGGTTACTTACGACATTAATGGTAAAGATATCTGTGTTACAATTTGGAGAGAATGTGTCAATAGTTGAAAACGTTTATTTTAGGTAAGGGATACCTTTGAGGTTGCCTCGGCTGCACGTCGGACAGTTCTCCTCATCGTCCATTAATTCTTGATAATGGACATCTTGAAGGGCATTATCCCGTTTATACCATGGTCACTTGCCAAAGAAAAAGATCATTTATATTTCCATGTGTTATGCAATCAAAATCTTTTTACAAGCCATGACTCAGTTTCCTTGGTAACACCTGAGGTTTTGACTAATACCCGGAAGAATCATGCAATGTTAACATTGTTCTCTACTCCAGACGAACCTTAAACACTTGGCAACAGGAGATATTTCTAGTTCTCTCCACTCATAGAATCACAATCACTCTATTGGCTAGGTACAGTATGTGCACGCATACACGGAATTTGACTCTGGTTTTATGTTGCTCTCAATGTACAAACACAGGCTAAGCATAAATAAACAGGACTTATGAAAACACAAAAACTACTATGTACTATAAGCACTTTGGCTCAGCTACGAGCCAGAGAGCTAACATTATGCTAGCAAGATTTCAAGTCAATAACACTGTGTACGGTCGACGTACAAACAGTAAATGTAATTTAACAGTATGTTTAACAACAAGACAAGCTAGCTATCAGCCATGTCACTGTCCCCAAATCAATATCAAGATTTTCACCAACTATGATAGGGCATGTGTACTAACAGAAGGTTGTGGTTGGTTCATAAAAAACAGAAGCAAATATGAAAGTCAGACACCGTGCCCCACCGCTTTAAGAAAAGATGCACTGCTTTGAGCATTGGCACTGAACGTTGGCTTCAGATGAATTGTCAGAAGGTTTATCCTGTGACACTGTAGGAGTGTTAACTCATCTTACTGGCTCATAACTTTAATGTTCCTTTTATGGTTTGATTTGCCTTTTCGGTCTCCCCTCTCAAGCGTTGTCAGGGTGGAAGACGACGGTAAAAAAAAAGAAAAAAGCTTAGATAGCAACGTTGGGACTCAGCTGCCACAGTCAAATCCTCTGCCAATGGACTGTAGCATCAACAAGCCCACCAGCTGTAACGCCAAGATGAGCCTGCTATTTAGGGCACTTTCAGAACCACAGTCTGTCATGTTCCCTTTGTTTTAAATAACCAATTTAATGTGTAAATACAGGACAACTCTGTTCTCTATCTACACCTTAGATTGGTTCAAATTTATGAAAGCTCCAAATTTAAATATAGACCAAAAAACGCAAGATCTGATAGGAAATGGGTTATAGACTGCTGCAGGAATTATTCTTAAAACCCGGAAATTAGTTTGCTTTTTTGCACCTCCAGTTCCCTCTCCTCGAAGTCAATGGGTTTTTTGTTAGATGAAATAAGGTCTGTGGTTAACACAAGCTTGAGATATCTTCACGTTTTATTGAGTGACAATATACCCCACCTGTGAATTTTGAAGCTTTTATGGCAGTTGCTAACAAGTGGCTGCATGAGGGGTTGTCGGGGATATTAAAACACGGAAACTTCTACTCACTAGTCCACCTTTACAGCCTCATTCGATAAGATTTTCTTGCTGAACAAAACGTGGAAGTATTAGAAACGTTTGTTCCCTACAGAGCTTATTTTTTGCAACAATCTAAAATCTAATGGAAAAATCCCAGAAGGAACCAGGGCGATGCTAACTTCCGGGTTGCATAAAACAACTTATTGAACACTTTTTGTTATTTCCTTCTATCATTGTCAATGCACTCACTGAAGCCAAGCAGCTCACTTTCATTCACGTCCAAATAGAGTGATTCAGATAAACTGTTGATTTGTTAGCAAACCTTTCTTATAACCTGACTGCTTATGTTTGTTACCACATGAAACCCCCTGTATTTCCAATAATGTTGGCATTTTCTGAAATCTCAGCATATCATAACCAATAGAACTGATGGCCAAATCTATGGAAATAAAACTAAGCTTGTACAGTAATAAACTGCAGTTTTCCTTTAAAGCTTGCATGTTTGCTTGGAAATGTACAAAGAAACCTCCTCAAGAAAGTGAACCGAACCGAACTGCTCAAAACAACTAGGTGTAAAATCACCCTAAGACTCATCAGAAAGCTAGAGTAGTGCCATTTTGTAGCTTGAATAAGGCCATGCTATCATTAATTCAATAAGGTCACTGCTTCGGCACAGCGGGGGTCATGATGCAGAGAGCTCCAGTGAAAAAACGCAAGGTCACTGGGCAACAGCAAGTACACATGCTGGTAGACAACTGTGCATGTCAGAGGCACACACTCAAGATAAGTAACTGATATCCATGTTTCTAATGATATTAATGATAGTGAGTCTGCAGTTCTGCACATTTTCAGTGAGATTTAGAAAGTACATTGGGTGAAATTACAGGCTACAATGAATATTGCCCTCCTCTTTGGTGACCTTCCAGCTAGTGGTGCCATGGGTGACTGCGAATGTTGCCTTACAAATGGCACTGTGATATGTTTCTTAGTTTGAGTCTGAATGCCTGCTAATACTTCCTATTTCTTTTTTAATTCAATGAATAGCTGTGAATATGTCCGGATTGTTGCAGACGACACAATCGGAGGTCAATGAGGAGCTGAGGGTGGTTTTCATGGTGACGTAATGACTCTTCATGAGTCATGAATGTTGTGCTTTGTCGAACTACTGTGTCACACTACAGCCTCTCTAAAGACTCCATAGCACAGCCATCCAATTAACACAGGCTGCTGGCTGCTTCCTGAGAGCCATTTTAGCTTTTCTGCTTAATAAAGACAAACGTGCGCACACACACACACACACACACACACACACACACACACACACACACACACACACACACACACACTTCATCACCTTCATTGACCCTGGAGACAGATGTTTCTCACTGTCATTGGTATTGATAGCAGCTGTTTGTGAGTGCTGTAGGATCAATGCAGTCAATACTCAGTCTTCAGGAATTCTTTACTCCTTATTAGGGTTGCAACCCTGAGGGGGCTGAACCCTGTTGAGTTTGTACTGGTTTTTTATTATTATTATTTGTTGTCTTCTACTGTTGCTCAATTTACCATAAGCTCAAATGAGATAGAGACATAAAACATGGCCCAATAACTAGAAATATTGTGTAAATGCTTTACAAGAAGTATGATCCCAGGATGGTGGCGCTATAGTTAACAGCCAAAAAATGAAAACTGTATGACCCAGCACCCCCCACACCAATTGACTTGAAATTTTATACATATACAACGAACAATACAATCTAGTTGGAACAAAATCAAACCAGCTTTAGTGACTTTGCTCAGCTTTGTAAAGTTTTTCTGTTGACCACAGAAAGGTTTGAACCTGGAATCAACTTGTAGCTGTACTTTTGTTTAATGCACAAACAAGGGAATGAAAACTGCTTCCTGGAAATGAATTAAATAGGTAACGTTCTTTATATAAAATGGTGATATGTTGGACTGATTTTCTTTGTAGTAGACTTTTCTTTTTCTATGCTATAAAGGAAATCATTAGAATATGTTTTTTTAAAACAAGAATATATTGAATTGACCAAGTTTTCATTGATTTACCCCCTTTGAAATATTTTTCAGCTAAGGAACCCCTGACCAGCGAAAAACATTTTGGGTAGAAAGAAAGCCTATATAAAGAGGTACAAATACAGTGCTGGCCATCAGTTTCTGATTTATTAAGAAAAACACTTAAATGCTACATTTCAGTCATTTAGACCATCACTAAATTCATGAAATTGTTGTCATCATGCAATAACAAGACAGTGTAGTTGCTTTGAACTGCAAGTTGCACTTGCAGTTCTGTTAACAATTGTATGGAAAATAGGAATGTTGTGCTTAAAATGTGGTCTCCTAAACTTACACACAAGTTGTTTATTGAACTTATAGCATAGATATTTTTGGAATAATGCATTACTTATAGTATATCATATTTATTCATTAATAAATTCATTAATAGATTATTAATAAATTAACATTTTCTGCAGTACCCTAAAGTACCCCTAGGGGTACCCACATTTAAGAAAGACTGCACAAATGTAAAGAGATCAGGTTATTTCAGCATTAAATGATTATAAATGATTATTATATTTATATATTTGAGAGTCAAATTTTATACTGGATTGTGTATAGTCATTGCTCTCTTTACAGGTTATGCAAAAAGCAGAACGAAATATAGTGCCTCCTGGGCCATAGTAGAATACAAAAAACAGGGAATCTTTAAAAAGCCATTTAAAAGCTATTTAAGTATATTTGCAAATTGGCATCTGTAAGGACAACCTTTAAAATGATGGTATGTGTCAGTGCCTCATACGTTCCTCAGAGCAGGCCAGGTTTAGATAGACTGCCTCCAACTGTCTCACCAATCTGCACTGGAACATTTTATTGTCTCTCCCCAGGCATTCACATCAGCGGTCTGATGATATTGAAAATTTAAAAATAAACCCTGTGCTCTGTAAAACATCCTGTGCTCCTTGTCTTACAGATTACCTGTTACTGAGAGCTGTAAAGTAGAAAAAGTCTAACCAAGACATAAGCCCTGGTAGAATGAGTGACTGTCTTTTTGGCCGAAAATAAAGCAAACAACTGAGCCGTTTTTCTAAAGCTGAGGCTCACAAGGTTGTAGAAAGTGAAATGCTAAAAACTTCCCTGATCACCTTTCTGTTCTCTAATCCTCTCTCCACTTCCAGGCAGAGCGGGAGCGCCAATACGAGCTCCCCCAGGCCCACCGCCCCCCAAAACCGCCGAAGGAGTCCTACCTGATCGAACAGGTTTTCTCACCACACCCCTTCACCCCCTCCATGAAGGCCCATGTGAAAGGCAGCCCCCTGTACACGGACCTGAGGCTCACCAGCCTGTCAGATGGTAAACGTGGCCAGCCATCCTGGACCATTGAGGAGTACAAACGCAACTCAGGAGAGAAGGGAAAGCAGCTCACAGCTCTGGACCTGCAGGTACGGGACTCTGCAGACTTTCAAAACAATATTCCCTTGTCTTCTCTTTATTGGGCGGATTATTACAGGGTTCTCTGAGCCTTCAGGAGGAGTTATAATAAACTTATTAGCTTAAAAACGTAACAGAATTTCAGTTGAGATGCTCTGACCTGGCTCTTTAAAAGGTGATACCTGAGCAGTGCTGTTAGTCAAGACCACTTTAAGGATACATTAACAATTTTTCAAACAATATATGTAGAGATGTGACGATCCAATACTCTGTATGTGTCCATATGAACACGTAAACTGTTTTCTCTGTAATCATTCCGCTCATATTTGCCGGTAAAAGATCCCCTCCTAATGTGCTTTCAGTGTAAGTGATGGGGGACAAAATCTGCAGTCCTGTGCAATAATGTGTTCCAAAGTTTATCTGAAGCTAGTAAGAGTCTCCAGCAGGCTGAATTAGTCAAATTAAGTTACTTTCTAGTACAAAATAATTGAAAAAAATGTTCAATATGAACAGGAAAAATAATTACAGCAGGTCACCCAACAATTGCTTTAGGACAGACTTGGAAAAAATATTTAAGTTTAAGAGACTTCCGGTTTGGCGATGTAGGTGAGAGACGTAGGGTGAATGGGCTCCCGGTCAACTCTCTTAATAACTTTAATAATCAAAGTTTTACACACATATTAAGCGTCGCACCGGTATAAATATAGTTGTTGAACCCTCACAACGGCGAAATGGACAGCGATAATCCTAAATCCCAGAGACACTCAACTTCAACCAGTCAAACAAATAGCATAGCTAGCAACAAAAAAAATGGCGGCCTCCTCTATTAAAAGGAAAAACCTGGCGCCAGCAAACACGGAGATCCTGTCTCCATGTCTCAACTGATTACAGAACTATCTAAGCAACGGACCAACTTTAAGGAAGATGTGGCCACAGTAATCCAAGAGACAATTCAGCCTCTGCAAGCGTCAGTGGATGGGCTACGCGGCGAAGTTAGCTCTTTTCAGGGCCGACTCGTTGCAGCAGAAAACCTGACAGGTGATAACTTTCAACAGATTTGTGAAGCTGAAGCTACCGTCAAATCCCTTCAGACCCAGAACGCAACCCTGCTGGATCGCCTTGAAAACCTTGAAAATAGATCTCGCAGAGCTACCCTCCGCATCCTGGATGTGTCTGAAGGAAGTGAAGATGGCCATGACCCTGCTATCTTTATCTCAGAGCTGTTGAAAGACGTCATGGGGGATAACGTATTCCCGTCTCCCCCAGAGCTGGACCGTGCACACCGCGCAGCCGGATCTAAGCCCGCAGCAGGACGATCCCCACGGCCCTTCATCCTGTGTTTCCATCGGTACCTTCGCTTTGAGATGGTCCAGGCAGCACGAAGTAAAGTATTAGGGGACTACTTTGAGAATATACCCTGACCTCAGCACCACTCTCAGTAAGAAAAGATCGGCATTTAACGGCGTTAAACGGGTTCTTTACCAGAGAGGAGTGCAGTTCCGTCTGCTGTTTCCAGCCCGACTCATAGTCACTTTTGATGGAGAAAGCCACCTTTTTGAGACACCAGAACAGGCCCAAGCGTTCTATGATCGTCGTGTTGCAAAGTAAACACCTGCGCGCAGGCTCGTCGCGTCTAGAGAAGTAATGACTGTGAATCTTATTTTGTGGCAAACGTGCACTCCGTGTTCAGGGATTGACTGCTGACTTTAATAAAGAAAAAAGAAAAAGACAACAGAATAACTCAGCCTTACGGTGTTTCTGTCAACGTGGACTGCTTTTGGTTTCTCCAGGCTCTTGGGATTCAGTGGGTAAGATAGAAGCTCAATTTCAAGAATCCATATGTAAATGGTTTACTTTATTTCTCAATATCTACCCACACATCCACGAGTAATGTTGGATTATGTATGGTCTTGTTTAGACAAGCACATTATTTTATTTACCTGTCTTGTTTTATTTTCTAACCACTCTTTCTAAGGCCCAGATATTAATAATTTTAGGACCATATGTTTAGATTCTCTGTTTTAATGTGCTGCAGCCAGATAGCTGCACTGTTATGTTAACTTGAATCTGGGCCTCTGATCACATTAATATAAGGTTGATTGTGATGCTTCCCTGAATAACAGCATATTTGCATACATGTGCCACTGTTTGTAAACACTGTTACTGGTTCGGTTTATAGATTAATAGTGTAATTCCTGCATATAAGTTGATTGGGTGCCCCCCCTAGTTAGTTAATGAGAGCATGGTCTATCGGGAGACCTACAAGTTATATAAGGAGCTGCAGTTTGCTTCAGGTGGGGAAGAGAAGGCACAGTTAGGATGGGTTCTAATGGGGTTCAGGTTCAGTGCTGTCATATTAGGTTATTTGATCCATTTGTGTTTTTTTTTTTATGGTATTTGATTTTGTGGATAAGACAACATGCTTTCATATGAAGGGCTTTCAGATGAGGTCACTGGGTCACGACAGCCATAAAACTGAACAACTATGACTGATTTATCAAGTAGCAATGCTAGAATGAGAGGTTCAGCAGTCCGCTTTACTAGTTGGAATGTAAAAGGCATGAGAGGGCCGGTGAAACGGGCCAAAATTTTTGCCCACCTGATAAGATCAGAGCAGATTGGGTGGGAGAACTTGGAATAAATATCTCAGATGCAACCTGGGATGGTGCATTATATAGAGTAAATGGGTCAATCTCATGTGCTCGCCTTGGCTTGATTCAGTTCAAGGTTCTCCATCGAATCCATTCTAGTAGAGTCGGACTCTCTAGGATATATTCTAATGTAAGTGAAACATGTGAACGTTGTCATATCGCTAAGGCCGACCTGGCCCATATGTTCTGGTCCTGTAATAAACTGTATAATTTTTGGACTACGATATTTCAAACTTTATCTGAAGCTTTTAGCAGAGATATTCAACCCAGTGCTGAAATGGCTATATTTGGATTTCCAAAAAATATGCTTGCTTTTTCAACTCTCCTGGCCCAGAGAAGAATCCTGTTGGAGTGGAAATCAGCACATCCACCCAAAGCCCCCTCCTGGATGAAAGACCTGATTCTATTCCTTAAGCTAGAAAAGATAAAATATTGCATTAGAGGGTCGACCCAAAAATCCATGATACATGGGCCCCTCTACTATTTTATTTTGAGAAACTTGAAGTCCTCCCACAAAACTGAAAATTAAGCAGGAATAAATTCAATTCAATTCAATTCAATCTTATTTGTATAGCGCCAATTCATAACAGAAGTTATCTCAGGACACTTTCCAAATAGAACAGGTGTTGACCGAACTCCTTATAACATTATTTACAGAGACCCAACAGTACCACCATGAGCAAGTACTTGGCGACAATCCTCTTGTGCTTGTGCTTGTACCTCCTTGGAGACTCAGGGACCTCAGAAAACCTGTATAGTGGTAATCACAGAAGGCAAATAGCCTACTTGTACTGTCTTGAATAAACACTTTTTCTCACTACTTATTTATTATTTTGTTATACATATATATATTTTTTTCTTTTTTATTACTTTTATTATTATTATAATCTTGTATATTTTCATGCTTGTAACCTTACATTTGAGGTGTGCTTTTCGAGTTTATTCTCACTATTTAATTTTTATTTTATTTTTATTTATTTATTTTTGCACTGGCAAAGAAAATAATAAATAATGGGAAAGAAAATAAGAAAAATGATGTATGATGAATATCTGTGTCCAATGCTCATTTTCTCAAGAGTCTGTCCCAAAAAATGCAAATGTCCATGACCAGATGTCATTATACATACATCAAGATCACAGATGACAGGTTAATACCAGATTGAGGACTTGGACTCAAGTAAGACTTAAAGGTTAGGTTGTCTGTCTTAGAGTAGTACTCACATGTCCATATGAATATTGATATACCTAACGTACATCAAATTGAAGGGATGTTTGACAGAATCCCCAGTCCTTGTTCTGTGTAAAAATCAGTTATAGTAAAGTCAGATGCCAGATTTCTACAAACTGAAGGAAACTACAACTGGTCAGTCCTTTGTACATTTCCAAGGAAGTCCACTCCAATCGCCATATAGTGCTTTGTTGATGCTCAAATAGGTAGCTGACCTATTAGTCTTGAGAACTAAAATCATTGATAAGTGATGAAAAATCAAGCCTAAAAGAGCATGCCCAGTTCCCTTTGGCAGGCACAATCAGCCCAAATCTTATTTTTTTACCCATATGTGACTCACATCTGTTTTTTTGGTGATCATGTCAACAGCACAAATCGCATGGAATCTGATCTTTTCCAATTCTGATTTAGGCCTCTTTCAAGCAAAAACTGAATACAAAGATAAAGTAGAGAAATGCTTTTACCCCGACGGTGCTAAGAGAGCGTAGGAAGGTCTAAATCAGATGACGGGCAGGGAGGCAAGCAGAAACATATCCCTCTGTCCCACCTTTCTCCATCCTTTGCTAATGACTTAAACTTCTATAGTCGATTTGATAAGATAAACTAACACTTACAGAACAGGCCTCAAGTTTAGCTTGTATTAAGCCCAACAAAACCCCAGGGCCTGATGACCTTAGACGTAGAATGTGAAAAGATTGTACCCATCAGTTCTGACTGAGCTATTTTCGCTCCTGCTTGAGACAGTACCCAAATTATGGGAAAATATGGATTTTGGGGCCCATTGAACTCGCCTCATGTAAATGTATGGAGAGAGTTCTAAGCAGAGACATAACATCTTGTGCATCTAGCAGCTTAGACCATCTAAAAGTGGCACAGATAATTCAACTGTAACTTTGTATAATACCCATAAAAACCATCTACAAGTCTCCACCCATTATTAGTTCTTTTTATTGAAAGCATCAGCATTTAACACCATGCAAATACATAGTCGTCCACTAAGACTCTTGGATCTAGGGGTTAATGGAGGCATCATTCACTGGATCAGAGACTTCCTCTCTGACCACCCTCAAAGAGTGACTGTTGGCAGTAGTGTGTCAGAAGGGATTGTGTTGAATACAGGAGCACTACATGG